CATATGTCTGGCTCCTCTGATCTTTTCTCTGTCTATAAGCCCTCTTCAGGTCAGGACAAAACATGTTGAGATTGATCGCCACTTAATTAAGGAGAAACTCACTAGTGGTATCATTTGTACTCCCTTTGTCTAGTCTGGTGAACAACTTGCTGACATTCTCACCAAGGGGATTGGCACTAAACCATTTCATGACATATTAGTCAAGCTGGGTATGAGAGATATCTTCGCACCAGCTTGAGGGGGAGTGTTAGCATATTATATTAAGTGATATTATATTAGCCGAAAGGTAGCCGAAAGATACACTAGGGTCTGTCTGTAATCATTTTATGCACTCAGGGATAGCACTCAGGGATCATCTTGTAATTGCATTTCTTGTAAACCCTAATCTTAATCTATAAATAGGGGGTGATATTCTATCATTCCCCAAGCTGGTTACCCAAGCTTCAACTAATAGCTCTGAAACAAGTAAAACTCAGAGAGTTTGCTTACCAAATCAGCAAATCAGTGATCAACACAAGGAAAAGGGAAAAACACCTTGATAACAAAAAATATGGAGTGAGAAAGAACTCTAGAGGGAAACATGCCTAGAGTTTGGTAGGCTCTGAAGTCAAATTGAATTTTATAATAAGGCAATAAGGTTGAATATGGAGAAATAATAGAGACAGAAAAGAGAAAAGAAAGAACAAAGGTTTAACGTGGTTCAGTCAATATTGGTTTACATTCACACACACAAAGCCGTATGGGCTACATCTTTCATTCACTCAACTTAATACTCTTGTTTACATGAGTGGGGGATACAATCAAATCCCTTTGATTAAGGAATTGAAATAATTCAAAGATACAAAAAATCATAATAAGTACAAATATGGGACCTCCATATATTTTGATATCTTCCATATCTTTTGATATCTTTGACAATAAAATTTTGTTACCAACACTCTTTTGCTTCATTGTTTTCATACTGGTAACTAGTTGGGCTTGTTGAGTTGAGTTGAGTTGAGTTGTTTAGTTTACAAATAGAACAATAGTTACAAAAGCAAAGTTTTGTTATGATCCATAAGATACACAATGATATAAATAGTTAACTTGAAGAGTTAGTTGTGTAATACTCAAGTAATCATAATTAAGACTCATCCAAATTGGTGGTTCATTACTAATTTAATGTGTTTGTTCACGTTATGGCATACCTTTAAATATGTCTGCAGCTAATCACAATTCAGCACTGTTAGTAGTATTAATATGTTTATTCACATGATGGCTTACTTGTGTTTTAGTACTACTAGTAATCTGTACTTTGCGTTTGAATGTATTAATATGCTCACTTCACACTTTTGACAAAATCAGTAAGACATGGGAGATAAACCTATCAAGAGTAATCTTTTCACTTAAAGCTTCACTTTGTAGTTAGGCTAAGCTGAACTTTTGACATTTAGTGCACTTTTTTCGCTTAGTACATGGCCAAATTTATGTCCTGCACTAATGATATTGGTGTCCTGGATAAATTTAGTCAAGTGCAGGGTCTTTCCAAAATGAAATTCAAATATTATACTCTTTCATGGTTGTACTATCTATTAAGGAAAATGGACTTCTGTGACAGCTATAGGTTACTTCTTACATTTTTTCTTAAAGTTATCCGAGCAACTGTAGATAAGTATCATTTCAATTCTTTTCAGGGCCTGTGTTTAACTATTGAGGCCTTTGATGTCTAGTTAACATATGTGTAGCATTTTCTTGCCTTTTGCATTTTGTTTTTCATTCCTTTCCCATGGATTTCGGTGGACTCCTGAAGATGAATTTCATTACTGGGAGGAGTCATACATAGATTTACTTAAATTTGTGGAGTTGCTGCAATTTGGGTTATCCCTGAGCTTAAATTAAACACCTTGGCTTGTTCTTTTGTAGCTTACTGCACATCCAATCCCTTTCATTCATCTTCCTTCAGTAAAATCCATCCAGTGTCTCCTTCGCTTCCACATCCTTACCCTGCTTCATTGCTAACCATTTTACCTCTTCCCTTATTTTCCTTCCCTTATACTACATGGATGCTTGCTAATACCATAGTCAAAACCATGGAGGTTGCAGATGAGAGGCAATTAGAAATGTTACAAGAAAATTTGGGATCATTCAGCCTTAAAATTTTGGGATTTCATGAAAGAAGTATTGTGGAAATCATAGGAGGCCAATGATAAGAACAGAGAGTTGTACGAGAAACTTAAAAAGTGTATAATTTAAACGAGCGAACATAATTATGGTATGAAACTGTTCAAAGTTACTAAACTGTGCGTGGTAAATTTAGGGTTTTTCTAGTTTGATAGGAAAAATTACAGCTTAGCAATGGTCAGTATTGGTACCCTAGCCTTTGGCTATGCTTACAACAGTATAGAGTATATGACAGGATGACTAAAATTTCCGTTTCCTTTAATTTTCTGGGATTCTCTAATTTTATGTTCTCAACTTGCTTTAGAACCCTTTTGATTTTAAATCCAACTATTTTTTACAGTGAGACAGAACACTGGAGTTCCATGAGATGACACTGCTGGTGAGGTATGTGCTACGGTTGTTCATATCATTGAAGTACATTACAGCCAACGTAGTAGACAGGGACAATGGTCGGATTGTTGCAACTTCATCAACAGTTGAACATGCTGTCAAGAGCACACTGGAGTGTGGTCGGACTTGCAATGCCAAGTCAGCAGCAGTTGTGGGAGAGGTGTTGGCAATGCGGCTAAAGGTGGAGGGTCTCGAGCAGGGACAGGGAAGAGGGATCCACGTCAATGTTAACAAAGAGATCGAGAAGAAAGGTTTCAAGAACCGTACTAAGATCTTTGCCATCGTGAATGCCCTCAAGAGCAATGGTGTCAAACTCATTCTTGATGATGATGACGACAATAGTACTCCACCGCCAAGTTACTGATAAAACCGTTCGTTTAATTCATTTGGTGCGTGTAATCACTCTCTTGCATTATGCTTTTGCTAATGGGAGGTACAATGAGGGACTCTTTTTGTTTATGTATAGGTTTTTTGTTGCAGAATTTTTAGGAGGGAGTTCTCGAGTAAAGGACATGTATGTATATGATAAGAAAAGCGTCTGCGAATTGTTTTCATCTTAATAGTAGAAACTGATTGTTTCGATTTTCAGATATATTGGCTGGTAGTTTGTGTTAGGGTGTGGCTTGTATCTAGTTGGAGAGAAGTCTAGTTTTATACAGTTGGGCTCGAAAGTTTTATTACGAGTCTCATTTCAATAGTTTGAGGCTTCCACGTAAATAAATTCAAAACTGACAGTAATCTAGTTACATGATTTTATTAGATTTAGAGAGAAGATCGGTTCTCTCTAATTATTGGATTAATTTAATTTTTTTTCATGAATGACCTATAGAGAAAATGGTTTGAATCATCAGAGTGAGATGTAGGGTGAGGTCGACAGGAGAAAAGTCGGTTCCTTAAATTTTTGTTAGTGGTTACTGCAAATGTCTGAATTATGTTGATAAAACAAAGAGTGAAGCATCGAACAATATTTTTGCTGAATTGATCATATTTGAGTATAAATTAATATGTCGATACTGCATTACAGTTTCATGTTTCATGCCTTATACCAAAGTATTCAAAATTTTCCTTTCAAATCTAATCACCAAAGCATTATTGTAGATATATTTGTTACAAATTTATTAAGTTGTGTTTCAATTTTGAACGTGGGAAGGAAAAAAATGATATAAAAAATGGAATAAAAGAAGGTACTTTTTTTATGTTTGGATTAGAGAAAGAAAAGAAAAAAAATCAATTCTTAGGCCTCGTTTGGGAAGTAACTTTTTTAGCTTAAAAGTCAAAAAGTCATTAAAAAAATCAAAAAGCTAACAACTTATACAAAAAAATTAAAAATTTCATTTTTTCTACTTTTTTTACATTTTTTCGTAAAAAATTAAAAAGTCATTCAAAATATATTAAGTTTTTTTACATCATATTTTAGTTAAAAAGTCAAAAAATTACTAAAAAAATCTATTCCCAAATGATGCCTTAAGATCAAATGAATTTTGAAAGTTTAAGTAGGACTGAAATCTTTTAGCACATTACTAAAAGATAGGAAAATTCTATTCATGTCACACATTTTAGGTCACAGATATGGGGATTAGTAAAAAAGCCCAAACTTTTAAAATATATATTTGCTTGGTTAGAGTTTTTTAAAAATACTTTTTAGAAAATTTTACTTTCTTATTTTTCGTGTTTTTTTTTTTGAATTTTTTTAATATTTTAAGCAATTTTTTTAATTTTTAGACAAACCTAACATATATATACCTACAAAGTAAAAAATTTATGAATTTTTTTTTTAAAAAAATTCACTAAATACCAAAAATACAAAAAAAAAATATGAGAATTCAGTATATTTTTTATATTTTTATGTATTTATTAATTTTTTAAAATATTTTTTCACAATTTTTTTATTTTTTAGATACATCTAAGTAAGGTGTATCTAAAAAATTAAAAAAAATATTTAAATTTTAAAAATATTCACTAAAAATCAAAAAATACAAAAATTAAAAAATTTAATTTTCAAAATACTTAATTCAAAAAACTCAAACTAAACACACGGAATAATTCAAAAACATATTAAAAAAACTAAAAAATCTTAATTTTTCTCATAAGTTTGTACCAATCTCTTAAAGGACAAGTCACCAGCTTTGGCACGGCAGTTTCCTTTGCTCTGAATCAATGGAAAGGCATATACGAATCTCCACCCAATTTTGACAAATTATATTAATAGTTTTTATAATTGGGTTTATGTCATTTTAATTCTTAAATTTTTAATTATAATATTTTTAATTTTAAATCTTATTTTAAATAAAGGTAATTAAAAATATTAATACTTAATTTTAATAACAAAATTATCAATTTGATAGAATCTAAACTAATTTAATAAAAATAAATGTCAAAAAAATATTTTTAAATTATTTCTATCTACTAAAGATAAAATTATGTAAAATTAATAAATCTATTTATTTTTTTACCAATTTAATTTTTATTATGTATTTAGATGATAATCATATAATAGGTGGTTATTTTTATTTTCATTAAATTAAATTAGTTTCTATTTTTTCAAAAGTTAAATATGACGACAACTTTGATATCATTATTAAACTAATCTATTAAATCAAAAAATCTAAAACTAAAAACATTTCATATATTAAATATATTGATTACATATTAAAATCCTAACAACCACCCATTACATGATCATCATCCGAACAAATAATGAAAATTAATTTGGTAAAAAAATAAATGTCTACAAGATTTATTAATTTTACATAATTTTATCTTGGTAGGTAGGAATAATTTTTAAAAATTTAAAAATATTTTATTGATATTTATTTTTGGTCAAATTAGTTTATATTTTATTTTATTGACAATTTTGCTCTTGAAATTAAGCAGTGATATTTTTAATTGTCTTTGTTTGAAACAAAATTTAAAATTCAGAGTCAAATGTATCAGAATTGAAAAGTTAAAGACCAAAATGATACTGTTGTTTTGAATAATTTAGATAAATGAACTTTTTAACTTTTATAAAAAGATATACAGAAAAATAAAAAAATGATGTGATTCACAAAAAGGTGTACATATATTATACCCCAAACAAAAGTATTTTCACCTTAACTTTATCCGATTCTCATGTCAAGGGATGGCCATGCAGTTGAAGCTTATTGAAATGTCAATTTTTTACTTTTTAAAGTGTCTAAGTAAATTTTGAAATATGGTTTGAATATGCTCTTACTCTAAAGTCATGTTTGTTTGGAAAGATTGAATTAGGTTGAATTAACATTCTCATGGTTAATATTCTTAGGGCGTGTTTGATTGGGGGGATTGGAGGGGGGACTATCCACTATTTGGATTACAATCCAAATAGTGTTCTTTATCCGCCGTTTGATTTTTTTTTAGTCCGCCGGACATGGAATCCGCCCGGACTCCATGTCCCCCATATGGGGGCAATTTTTTACTTTTTAAAGTGTCTAAGTAAATTTTGAAATATGGTTTGAATATGCTCTTACTCTAAGGTCCTGTTTGTTTGGAAAGATTTAATTAAGTTGAATTAACATTCTCATGACTAATACTCTTAAGATTATAAATCCTTTAGATTGTGTATCATAATTTATATTTGGATTGAGTTAAGATTATAAGGAGGACTAATAGTCCAGAGTTTGCTTAGTCTTTCAATTTATATCTCACCCCCTCTGTGGGATTGAATAGTCCATCATATGTAGGATACCATATTTAGATAGATTGTTATTCCGTACTTTAATTGTTTAACCAAATATCAGATTAATAATTTTATTGGACTATTAGTCCAATCCCAACCTTATGTCCACCCAAACAAACATGCCCTAAATCCCATCCTTAATTCACCTGACACGGCAAGACGCTTAAAGGTAATAACAAATTTATTTATTTTTTTAAACCTATCTTTGTATCTTAGATTTGTGAATAAATTTATGAAAGATAAAAAAAAATGAAAAATTACATTTTTTTTATCAATTTTTATACAAATTTAAAATTCAAACACAATCTATAAAAATAAATAAACAAACAAAATAACTGTTTGGTAGGTGTGACCCTTGTAAATTCACTAGTACAATCATGATCTTTCTCTTCTTCTGGGAAAAATAATTTCACAACTAGTTGGAACTTTAGTTGGTGCATAAAGTTATTTTTGGGGAAAAAAAGAGAAGAGAGAGGAGGACTGTTTTAGGCTTTTTGTATGTGTCCTGTTTCACCTAAAATTGATAAAAAGTTTTCTGGCACCCAACTGTGGTTGATTGTTGCTTCTCTGTTTCTAGGTAGAAAATGCCATAGACTTGCAGGGCCTAAGCTCACTTTCCTTTCCTTAGAATAGAGCTTCAAAAAAAATTGTTAGTATTTTTTTTCAAAAATTTAAAATCTAATTTGATAAAAAAAATGAAAAATAAAATAAAATAAAAATACTTATCATTTTCGTATAATTTTCTCTTTTTCAAGATGAGAATTGTTTAACAAAAATTTTAAAATATTTTTTCTGTGTTTATCTTCGTCAAACTATATATATGTTTTTTTTTAAAGAAATTTTTTTATAAGAACTCAACCAAATAAAGTGATACATATCTATATATTGTATCAAAAATATTTTGAAACTCTAATTTGTGAGTTCTAATAAGTCTAATGTGTATGTTAAACCCATCTGATATGATATTTTGGCCTTTGTTTTTTTTTCTTTTTTCTTTTTTTTTTATTTTCCATCTCACTAGAGCTCAATTAGAGCTCTAATTTTAGAGGGATGTATCATTATTGATATTATATACGCAAAAGGGGGTTTCAAATTACAAGTCTTGTGGGAGCTCTAAATCCCCAAACAAAATTTATGATTTTTTGATTTTTAAATAATAAAAAAACATTGTATTGGTTAAACTCTCATCTAAGCATAACAAGAAAATTCTAATTATTCTATAAATTATGATTTTTAAAAGAAAAGTATACTTAACTATTTCAAAATTTAAATTTGTGTGTCACACTATATATAGAAGCAATTCACTAAAATTTAATTATTTTTTATTTTTTAAAAAGTCTATTGGTTAACTCTAATTTAACCATAACAATTAAAAACTCTAATTATTTCATAAATTACGACTTTTAAAAGGAAAGTATACTCAATTATTTCAAAATTTAAATTTGTGTGCCACTAATATGAAAGCAATTCACTAAAATCTAATTATAATCATAAAAAAAATTATAATTATTTCATAGTTTATGATTTTTAAAAATATGTATATTTTTCCATTTCAAGATTTAAAATTATGGGGCTGTTTGGTTTGGGAGGTCCGGATTCGTAGTCTGAAAGGACTATAGATGGGCCTTGGCGAGGGTATTAGCAATCCGAAGTGAGATATGGTATTAGCAAACTAGTCCGTTCGGATTGGGTGTTACCGGACGTCTGGCCGGAAGTTCAGCCAGTCAACCGGCTGGTCAACCGGTCAACGCAATTTTATTTTTTTAACGTGTTGGGCATTTTTTTTTTAAACATCAATGTTTAATATTTTTGTATTTTTTGTTAAGTAAAAATCATTATTTTATTTGTTTTATTATTTTATATAAAAATAATTTAACAATCCTCACACTAACAATTACTATCAAAACAAATACAATTTTATCAATGCCCTTAATATCAATCCACTCACTATCAATCTCCTCCATTCTATCTTTGAAAACA